TAGGGATATAGGGGTTATATAATATGACTATATAAGGGTTATATATGGTAATGGGATTAAGGGTCCCTATTAGGGGTCCCTCCTAAAGTCCCTAGAAGTATTGTAACCGCAATACTTAGGTATATGTAGGGTTTGGGGTTGAGGGTTTAGGGTCCATATGCAGGTAGGTATATGTATAGGGTTTGGGGTTGAGGGTTTAGGGTCCATATGCAGGTAGGTATATGTAGGGTTTGGGGTTAGGGGTGTTTATTAGCAGTCATAGCAGTATTGTAACACACACATCCGTTTCTTTTTAGGTGCTATATCAGGACTAAGAACTATATAGGGGCTATGTATGAGTATACATATTAGTTGTAATTGTCATAGTGATGCTTCCAGTCATAACTGACATCGTAATTTTAGCAATTGCAACAACAGTGGTGCTAGTACTAGCAAGGATTTTCGATGATGCTTGAATATGGGGATTTACAACTGGCATTTGGGACTGGCAAATTATTTCTTACGATGAATGGTTTTGGGACTTGCTGTCTAGTGAAGGACTCTCGGCATTGCCGCGAAAAGCAGTCCTCAACACCGCTGGGAAATGACGAGCGCCGTTTGGAGGGTGCTTCCTGTTGAAGGATCCATTCTGTAACTTATCCGGTACAGATTTGCATGCCTTGTTCTACTGTAGTCGTTGGGAACCCTATTACATATGATCATTGAGAGACTGAAATGTGTAAGGCGCGTGAAGACCTAAGGTGTAGCGGGGTTGAAGATTGACATTCAGTGTTTGGCGAGCAAGGAATTCTTGACGGAGGAGTAGACAGCTTTGGCATTACGACCTAGACCCCGACTCCTACAGCCCCAGCCCCAAAGCACTAGATCAAACGCCTCACCATTGCTTAAATGCCTCATGAGATGTTTCCAGTTACGCCACAATGAACCTATGATCAGATATGTCCCCAAGTCCACGTGTATCCGGCGTTTGCACACCCTTAACCATGAACCTGCAAAACCCGGGGCCAAGGAAATCCTCGAACGATGGCTGTCGCTTCTCCGGAGCAACTCACGCCGGTATGTCGACGATGGCGGGGGTGTGAAACTTCAGTTTATATTCAGGGTTTGAGGCTTAGGGCTTAGAGGGTTACGTGTTCGGGGCTTGGGATTTAGGCTTTAAGGTCCAGGGTTGGGGAAGTGGGGTAAGGATCTGAAGAGATCACAGAGGATGCATGCAGAGCTTCCACACGGCAATCCCTGACACTACTTAGACTTTGAAGCTCAGGAGACCTAGGAATAGGTCCTGGATGGGGCTATGAGAAGGCTACAACCAGTTAGGGACTTTCGTGACCCAATTTCTGGCCTACGTACTAAGCTTTCTGAGCCTTCAAGTAGTTTCCGGCGCGCTTTCCCCTTTTGAGCGCCTGATTCTTGACCATTCTCGCTTTTGGCTCAGGGGGGCCGCATGATTGTCATCATTTCAAGTTGAATATGAAGTCAACCTGATGCCTGATGCAGCCTCAATCCTGGCAGTCTTTCTCTGATTCATGTGGGGGTTAGTTCCAAAGCATGGGTAGGCCTAATTGGGAGTTCTTATGATACGGATTCTACTATCTTCTCCGTATATGAAGCGGGATCATCTCTTTCGGACACTCATTTACTTCCTCCGTTGCGCAGCGGAGAGCTGTAAGCCCGGCAGTCCCACGAATCGAACAGGTCATCATGTTGCACCCATCTTGTGGCATGCCTCCAGGACTCTCGCATTGCAAGTCCTAAGCCCAGCAAAGACTCCGAAGTCTCGCAGGTGGAGACTACCCCAAACGAGAGCTGTCTTTCAAGCAGGCCGAATTGACTTGGGATATAGTCTGAAGAGCTTTCGTTGCACAGGGGCTGGGGCTTAGGGCTCAAGGGCTGGGGTTTATGGTTGGGGCTGGCAAAGCTGGCGGGCATCATGAAGATCCACTGATCGGTTCTTCCCCCGCCGGGGCTCTCACTGCCAGTGCTATCTTGCATCGTGTAAAGCAGGGGACCCGCATAACACGACACGTGTCAGCATTTTGCTGCTGCTGCTGCTGCTGCTGCTGCTGCTGCTGCGGCTGATGATGGTGGTGGTGATGATGATGAGGATGCAGTAACTCCCGATGCTGTCGGTGGCACTGCTGATGCCAAACATGATGCTGACGACGGCAGAGTGGTTCTGGCGCTGGAAATGCTGATAATGGCTATGGCTAGCTCTTGCAGGCCGCCCGCATTTTTGAAGAGATGAATGTGAAATCCCAGACACGCATGCTAAGTTCTGAATAAGCCTCACCTTCAACGCACACGGCCTTTGAGTTCTGCCTTCATAAGCCCTGGCGACCGTTGACCACTGTGTGTATCCTAAACGTCGGACTTTCGACCCCAATCTCAAGACCTCAAAGTTCCTGATGTGCGCAGGAGCAGCCTGCACAAATTTTGAGGACTTAGATAGAGCATTACCCTTGAATCGAAGCAACGCACCGGTCGGTCAAGCCTTCACCCTTCAAACTCGTTCCTTCAGCGACATGGCCCCAAATCCGCAATCAAAACCACTCCTCCCTCACGATCTCGAAAAGCCAAAGCGCATGATCCTGAAGTCCCGATTTGAAGTTTAGTGTTTAGGGTTAAGAGTCGCATCCAACAAATGCAGTGCTATGATTCCCTTAGTTTTCTGAAATGCCTACGTAGAGTAAGAGGTCTTCCTGCGGAGCCGTGGGGTGGAGCTTTGCCTCGATACTGCGGCCAGAAATCCGGAACTGCGACAGGCATGGAGCTTCAGAACTAGACTCAGGGCCATGTTAGATGTTCATGAGTTTTTAGGTATGGGATTTTGCGGGGTTTGGGGCCCTATGGGGCTTATGCAGGAATTTGGCGTGTTGGGATTCAGGGTTTGGGCTGTCCTGTTGGGGAGACAAAAAGGCGAACTAAGGGGCACCATGGGCCACGACGTGGTGACCATGTTAACATATGTAGCAACTGCGTTTTTCTAGGGATGTCGCGTAGGGCTCTCCAGGGTTTGTGAGGTTTGTAGGCTTGGAATTTTGAAGGTGTAGGGCACTTTAGGTTCGAACGACTTCTAGGGTTGGGTTTGAAGGCGCTGGCTTGTTTCCGGGGTCGAGGCTTTAGGGTTGCTATACAAGCCATAAAATGGTATGATTTCGTAGAATTTGGTAGCGGTATATTATAGTATGTTGCTATAGTATATTGCCCAGGGCAACTCTTGAGCCATTTTTGTCGGCTCCTACACTTTGATCAACTGGCAGGCCTGTCCATACTGTGCTGAAGCAAAGCCCAGGTTCACCTCTATGAGAGTGGCCTTGCTTCTAAACAGTTGACAATATCCCTAAGGGTCCAAGGACCCAAATACTAGGGTTTCAGGGCCCAAATATTAAAATATTAATGGTATTGTGGCCCTAAAACTCTAGTATTTGGGTCCTTGGACCCTGAGGGTATGCCTACTACTAGTATCATTACGATTACTGTTACTATTCTTATTCCTATTATCACTTCTATTATTCTTCTCGACAATATTATTGTTATTACCGCTATTACTATTATTGCTATTTTTTATTAGTATTGCTATTAGTACTTTTATGACCATTAATATTAGTCTTTCTACTATTGCCATTACTTTGATTACTTTTCTTATTCTTATTATTGCAACTGCTATGGGCAGTCTGGGTAATCTTCCCTTGAAATCTCCACGTATTTGCAATTGGATAGGCACCACGAAAAGTGGGGCCTGGAGTGTAGAGTTTCCTTACGGTAAGAAACAGTCCAAGACCTAATGCAAAACCAGCTGCAGCACAAGGGCAATAAAAACACAATAGCCGCAACAGTAGCCGCAACAACAACAATAATAAGCGGCAAATCCTAGAAGACCTTCTGCTCCACTTGAGTTGTATTTTACTGCGAAGGAAGCGCAGCCAGAAGTAAGTTGCTGTTCGGCTTCGCATTCAGGATCCTCACACCTGGTGTGGATACCTTCATCTTTTTTTTCTTCATTGCATGGCCTTGGAAAAGTGCGCAGATGGATTCTGACGCCCCCATCTCGTAGAGCGTGAAGCCCCCTTCAAAACAGAAACCTTTAGCACATACGCCCAAAACGCCTAAGCCAAAATCTCTATAGTCCTTGAGCCTCGCGCTTCAAAACCCAGTGATGCCTACAGGCACTGCGCAGTTACGCCTTAGCGGCGCCAGCAAGGCGTAGCGCGTTCATGCTGACAGATGGCTGTAGTCCTTCTTCACGGGACCGCGAACAGCACTACAGTCTTCAGGGTGGCATTAAGGACTAATTTCGACATACCTGGATGGTATTCAACTTCAGCGGCGCATCATTTGGCCCCCATATCATAAGACCCCTGTAAGAAGCATCAGAAGCGATTGGAGTAGCTATTTTTGGCCAACGTTCTATGGAGGATGGAGTTGGATATTCCCAAGTTCTGCTTGAATAGTTTAAACCACGGAACTCTGTTCGCATGAATTCCACCCAAATGGCTTTACCCCATCCACGCAGTGGTGATCCTGGGCCAAGGTTTCACAGTGATTTTTGACCCCCGGAAACCTCTTGGTCCCCACATTCCACTGGCAGCTGAAGCAGGGACCATTATATGCTCCCGGATAGGTGACCAAACAGGCAGATGGTTTCCATCCGCTTGCATGAGCTCTTTTGCAATTCTGCTGCTGCTGCTGCTGTACTACACTAGCGAAGACCACCATCAGCGCTAGCATCATCTTTCTTGTACTGCCGCGGCTACGACAACTACCGCTACTGCTATTGCTACTCCCTGGAGAAAAGAAGAATCCAAGCGCTGGGGAGTGGAAAGGTGGCCAGAAAGCTGTCCTCCACCTATGGCTTTTGCGCGTGCGCCACTTGGCGGAGAGGAAAGCCCTTAAGCCTTCAATCCCGGGGGGAGGCCGGGTGG